ATTGCGTGTTTGATCAATTTCAGATTGAAGAAGTTGGTAGAATTCTTCTATTTCATCCTCACTGGCTTTAGTGGTTGGTGCATAAGTTTGAATAACAGTGGTATTAACTGGGCTTCCCTGTAGGCGCATAGATATTATCCTATCACAGACAGCGTTGTACCTCATGAATGATCTGGATATGTTCTTTTGATAATGAATGCAACACCATTCCTCTTCAATTTGTCATTGGAGCGGGCCTGGTAGGTTTGAACCAGTGATGTTTTGGTTAGCAGCCCAATGCTGAACCCATGGTATCTTCAGAGCTCCTTAAACTATACAGAAGAGGAGAAGAATTGCAAACCTACGTGTGTGAACCTTGTGTAGTCTCCTGTGATTTGTATCAGACGCCAAATCCCATCTGCAGCCCACTAAAGCCCAAAGGTGGAGAGCCACTGTTCAGTCACCCTCTTTCCTTTCCCTGGAATCGAACTCTCTGGTCCCTCAGCTACACCCAGCAGATACTCTTCTTTCCTCGCACCTTTGTTGGAATCTCACCTTGTCATTGGTGCCTTTGCTGACCCGTTATACCTGCTCTGTGTGTTTCTCTCTGTCCCTTTCACTGTCAGCATGAGCCTAGTGTGGAAGTGTGCTGAGCTTGGCTCCTCTAAGTGCACTCAGCCCTGGCTGCATGCTGACTCACTAAGGCGTTTTGTAAGTGTATTCCATATTTCACAGTCCCATCTTCCCACGAGGGATAACGAATTCCGGCTGCCCAGTGGTTAAGTGTCCTTGAAAACCCTGTGGGGAGCTCTGTTTTGTCCTGTATGGCCACCATGAATTGGAATTGGCTTGTTGTTAAGTGCCTTCCAGTTGCTTCCCACTCCTAGTGACCCTTTGCCCACCAGAACAAAACACTGCCCCGTCCTGTGCCAGTCTCATAATCAACTGTTGATACGCTTGGACCCATTACTGCTGCCACTGTGCCAATCCATCTCGTTGGGGGTTGGGGAGCTTCCTCTTTTTTGTTGACCCTCTGCTGTACCAAGCAGGATGTCCTTCTCCAGGGATTGGTCCCTTCTGATAATATGTCTGAAGTATGACACGAAGTTTGGCCAACTTGGCTTCAAAGGAAGATTCTGACTGTACTTCTTCCTACACATATTTGGTGGTCCATGGTACTTCTAACAATCTCCTCTAACACCATAACTCAAATAAACCAATTCTTCTGTGGTCTCTATTCATTATCCAGCTTTCACAGGTGTATGAGCCTATTGAAAGAGAAAGGCTGTGTGCTGGTTGTCAGGAGGCAGGCTTGCAGAATGTGCTCTTTGTTTTAATTATTATATATTCCTGAATGTTTTGTGTAAGTCCCCGCACCCCCCCCAAAAAAAAACAAACCCCAGAGGAAATAGAGACACAAACGCTACTAAATGATGCACGAGGAGACTGTAATCATTGCAATGAAATGGTAAGTGTAAAATCGATGTTCTCCCATGTAAACGATCACTCAATTCACAATAAAAACTTTAAAAGAAAGAATAAACTCTCATGAATACAAAAGAAAAAAAAAGGGTTACAGTCTTGGAAACCCTATGGGTCAGTTCTACTTTGTCCTTTGGGTCACTATGAGTTGGAATCAGCTTGACGGCAAGTACTTCATTGGCTGACCCCTTGAAAGAATCCAGTCTAAGACAGGGTTTCCAAGGCTGGACACCTTTATGGAAGCACACTGTCGAATCTTTCTCCCTCGGAGCAGCAGGTGGGTTCTAACCACCAACCTAAAAGGTTAGCAGCTAAACTTGTACCACCTGCATCCGTTTCGCAGTAAAGACTGTTGTTATGTGCCATGGAGTCAGACCCTGCATAGGGTTTCTGAGGCTATAAATCTTTATGGGAGCAGAAAGCCTCATCGTTCTCCCACAGAACAGCTGCTAGTTTCGAACTGCCGATCTTGCGGTTCGCAGCCTGATTCGTAACCGCTATGCTACCGGTAAAGATTACAGCTCAGGAAATCCTAGGGCACAGTTCTATTCTGTCACATGGCATAGCCAGGAGCTAGCTTGCTTGTTTTGAACGATTCTCATTAGAGCATTCCTATAATGAAGTCAAGGAGACCTGGTGGTGAGGTGGGTTAGGTGTTGAGCATCCAATCACAAGGTCAGCAGTTCAAACTCT